GGAAGAGCCACCGGGGGCACCCCCCCGGCAATTCATGAATAATAAACGAGCCTCGTGGATAAGAGGCTCTGATTGGCCAAGAGGCCACGTCCCCTCGTGAATAATGAGCAAATGCGGAGCGCCATTGGCCAGCGGGGCTGTGACGTGTCCCGTGGAGGGGCGGGGCTGATGGGCAGCAGGTTTCTGGTCCGCCGCGGAGGGAGCAGGAGGCCGAGCGCCCCAGGCAGCCGGAGCCGCCACCCCCCTCCCCCCGCCGGGCCTGGGAGCCCCGTCCCCGCAGGTGAGCCGGGTGGGGGTCCCTGCGGGGATGGGTGCAAAGGGGCGGGGGGTCCCCCGGGGTGCTGCGCCCATGGGTGCTCAAGGCATAAGAGTGCGTGTGGGTGCCCCCCCCCCGGTGCTTGGGTCAGACCGCTGGGAGGCGCAGGGTTGGGGAGGGCTGTACTTGCACCCATGGGTGCTGGGGCCAGAGCGGGGGGCTGATAGCTGCTCCCATGGGTGCTGGGGTTAGGCTGCTAGGAGGAGCTCAGGGTTGGGGGAGCGGCAGTTGCTCCCATGGGTGCTGGGGTCAGAGCGGGGGAGGGGGCAGCAGTTGCACCCATGGGTGCTAGGGGCAGCAGTTGCACCCATGGGTGCTGGGTGCTCCTGTCTCTCTCTCTCAAGTCGCGAGCCAGGCAGTGGCTGCTCTGAGAGCGAGATTTAAATGCACCAGAGTCAGGAAACGGAAAGTGGCGATGCCCTGGCAGCCGGAACCCGGCCCCTTGCGCACTTCCATCTTGTCTTGCATCAGCCTGGCTTGGCTGCTGGCTCTCCCCAGATCCTGCTGCAGCCGCCCGCACGCCTGGGCCGGTGTAGGTGGCGCTGGGCCGCAGCGAATGCGAGGGGCCCTGGGGTGCCTGCCAGGGGCCCTGGGGTGCCTGCTCAGGGCTCCCTTGGGAGCTGATGGGGATGGAGGTAGCCCAGCCGTGCCTGAGGGGGAGCCTGACCCAGCCAGGCGCTGCTGTCACTGTCGCTCAGGATCAACCCAGGGGTTGGATTTAGAAGCTGGGCCCCGCTGCTAAGCGCCTTTGCTTTGCTGTGCCCCCAAGGGCCGCTGACTCGTCCCGTTCCCACACGCCCTCGCTGGAATTGGACTTGCTGGTGAGTTGGGCACAAGGCCCCAGCCCGTGGCAGGAGGGGATGTCTCCTTGCACAGGGCTGCCAGTAGAAAAAGGGGTCTTTTGTCTGAGAAACTTCATGGCTAGCGCTTGTAAGCTCCCTGCGCCGCTTCTGTCTGGCGGCAGAGAGGCATAAAATTGAAGCACATTGAAAAAAGGCTTTTTATCCGGTGTCGGGGATTATTAGAATCGCCTTTCTTTTGGCGAGGGTGTTGATGCTGGGCGGGTCTCATAGCCTCGGCCAGAAGACTCCACAATTTCACTTTTGTTGTTAGTCGTTGTCCACGTTCTCTCGGTCCTGGGGCGCTAGGTCTGCAGCCACGGGGGGCCATTTCTCGGGGCCCCAGAATTGAGCTGGGCACCTTAGAGAAATAGGCAAGAGCGTTGTACCCGAAAGGCATGATGGAATCAGCATTACTAAGAGCGTATGCGAATGCCACCACCTGGCACTTTTACAACATGGCCTTGTGTCCCATGGGCGGGCGGCGAGTGAGCCCCCCCTTCAGGGAGGCTAGCCCCTAGCTCCGCCCCTGCCCGCCAGAGCCTGTGGCCAGAGGAGCCCTGGCCAGCCTGCCGCTAGGCCGGCCAGAGCCACCCTGGGCCACCAGCTGGCTTGAGCACTGGCCCAAGCCACTCCTGGCCGCTCCAGCCTCTGGCCACTAGCCGAAGCCCTGAGCTCCAGGCGGCTAGCTGGAGCCCCTGCCAGCTTCAGGGGAGAGGGGGAGCGAGGGTGGGGCCACGGCCTGGGTTAGGGGAGGCTTAGCCTTCCCTGGCCCTTGATACCCACCGCCCATAGGGTTGCCAACTTTCTAATTGCACAAAACTGAACACCCCTGCCCCGCCCCTTCCCCGAGGCCCCACCCACGCTCATTCCACCCCCCCCCCGGGTGTGGGATGAGGCTCCGGGCTGGGGCAGTGGGTTGGGCTGTGGGCTCTGGGGTGGGACCGGGGATGAGGGATTTGGGGTGCAGGAGGGGGTTCCAGGCTGGTGGGTGGAGCTGAGGGTAGGGAGTGTGGAAGGGGGCTCTGGGCTGAGGCAGAGGGTTGGTGTGTGTGTGTGGGGTGCAGGGTCCTGGCTTTGGGAGGGAGTTTGGGTGCGGGAGGGGGCTCCGGGAGGGAGTTTGGGGTGCAAGCAGGGGGCACGGGAGTGGGGTGTGGAAGGAAGTGTAGGCTCCTGGTGATGCTTACCTCAGGCGGGTCTCCCAGAAGCAGTGACATGTCCCTCGACTCCTAGGTGGAGGTGTAGCCAGGCAGTTGTGTGTGCTGCCCCCACCTGCAGGCGCCGCCCCCGCATCTCCCATTGGCTGCAGTTCCCGGCCAATGGGAGCTGCGGAGCTGGCACTCAGGGCGGGGGCAGTGCGCAGAGTCTGCCTGGCTGTGCCTCCGCCTAGGAGCTGAGGAACAGGTCGCTGCTTCCGGGGAGCCAGGTAGGGAGCCTGCCAGCCCCACCAACCGGACTTTGAGTGGCCCTGTCAGCAGTGCTGCCTGGGTCCCTTTCTGACAGGTGTTCCAGATGTAAAGAAGACACCTGGCAGCCCTAGCCGCCCATGGGCCCTCCCACCAGTCCCAGTTGGTTTATTACAAGGAAGGAACTGGTTGGTATTGACTAAACTATCTGTAAAACATCCAGGCTCTGACCCTGAGCATTCCTCCCACTCGCCAACCTCTGCAGTAGCTTTGGGGAACCTTGGGGTGACCGTGTTTGCTGTACATCTTACTCAGAGCCTTGATTATCAAAGAACTGCAACTGCTCTGCAAACGCAATCCAAGTGTAGAGATGGCCTTGTTAATTCAGTGAATGCGATTGTAGAGTTCAGTGCAGTTTAAAATGACATTTCAGAAAGCTTTGACGGTAAACTGCCTTTTTGGAGTAGATAGACTGGGGAATCTACAAACTGATTTAAGAAGCCAAACTATGGACTGTGACAAAGTTCCTCCTCTACCTTGGTGGGTCCTGTGCTTATTGGTGGATTTGCTCCCTTCACAGATTCACCCTGTGGGTCAGGAAACAGTCCTGAGACTTTCCCCTCTGGTAGAAGCTATAGTCCAGGTCAATTCCTCCTGTGTTTGATCAGGAGTTGGGAGGTATGGGGGGAACCCGGGCCCTCCCTCTACTCTGGGTTCCAGCCCAGGGCCCTGTGGACTGCAGCTGTGTAGAGTGCCTCCTGGTACAGTTGCACAACACCTACAACTCCCTGGACTACTTCCCCATGGCCTCCTCCCAACACCTTCTTTGTCCTCACCACCGAATCTTGCTCCTGATGTCTGGTAATGCTTGTACTTCTCCATCCTCCAGCAGTACACCTACTCACTCTCAGCTTCTTGCACACCTCTTGCTCCCAGTTCTCTCACACACTTCCTCTCCACTGGCTCTCCCTGGCTTGACTGCAGTGAGCCCTTTTATAGCATCAGACAGGCCTTAATTAGAGTCAGATGCTTAACTGCCTCCTTTGACTCTTAGCAGGTTAATTGGAGTCAGGTGGTCTATTAGCCTGGAGCAGCCCCTGCTCTGGTCACTCAGGGAACAGAAAACTACTTATCCAGTGGCCAGTATATCTCCCTTCTGCTACTCTGCTGTTCCCAGCTGGTCTGGGTCTATCACAGGACATTCAGAAATCTAGTTTTTATTGGGTTCTGGCCTTGAGCGCCCTGGTTTGAGCATTGGCCTGCTAAACCCAGGGTTGTGAGTTCAATCTTTGAGGGGTCCACTTAGGGATCTGGGGCAAAAATCAGTACTTGGTCCTGCTAGTGAAGGCAGGGGGCTGGACTCGATGACCTTTCGGGGTCCCTTCCAGTTCTAGGAGATAGGTATATCTCCATTTATTATGATATTAGGATCCTTATGTCGGGAATTTCACAATGCTTAAGAATAAGGATTTCTAGCAGAGCTTGTGGAATCTTTTGTTAGAGGCATTGCATTAATATCGATCAACACTGCTGGGTTACTGAGATTATTGGGAATCAAGACTGAAAACCAGAAATGTTGATTCTGTATTTGGTCAACCCAAGGCTTAGTGAGCTGATTCATGTTTCCGACAGATGTGAACTGTGGGTTGCATTTTATTCTCCTTTGCTTGTTTTCACTGTGATTTTTTTTTTTTTTGAGAGCAGTTGCGAGTGTTTCTTGTGCTAGCTCAGATCTCAGCTGGACCAGACCTTTGTCTTTAGTAGTACACCTCTACCCCGATATACAGTAACATGAATTCAGATATAATGCAGTAAAGCAGTGCTCTGGGGGTGCGGGGCTGCGTGCTCCGGCAGATCAAAGCAAGTTCAATATAACGCGGTTTCACCTATAACGCGGTAAGATTTTTTGGCTCCCGAGGACAGCGTTATATCGAGTAGAGGTGTAGTTTTATGAAGAAAACTGGCACCTGGGGTGAAACACAAGGTCGGGGGTTCATGATGGTAGATGATTTTGCAGCACTGTGTCAGGGACTCTCTTCGGTCCTTACCTGGCCCCCATGACCGTAGCATCCGAGCGCCTCTCAGTCCCCCGGTGGGTGTATTCTCCCCATTTTACAGATGAGGCAACGAGGGGCAGAGAGACTAAGTGACTTTCCCAAGGTTACTCAGGGACTCTGTGGTGGAGCATGGACTATTCCCCAGGTTCCAGGCTAGCGCCGAACAGCTGCACCATCCTTCACCCTTTCCTAAATCTCTGCATTGATTACTTTACTTTCTCCACCTCCAGGGTTACTTTTCTTGGCCATCTGAACAACGAGAGCCATATTCGCTCATTTGCCTGGGGCAACGGACTTTCTCTTTTACAGAAGAAGTCCATATGTTTTGTCATGCTACAGACAGCCAGGCAGAACTTCACCTGAGCTGGTGAAGTTCTATTCATCTCCTGCTGCAGCCTCTCAAACCTGTCTGGGAGGACAAGGAAGAGAAGTTCATTTGAAAGCTTTGGAGGGTGGTGGGAATGACTCCTACAGACAGTTAGGACCTCTGCTGAGAGCTGGTCGGGAATTGTTTCACTCACTGTTTCTTCGTTGGAAAATACCAATTTATCAACACCAAAACGTTCTGATGAAAAGTTTGAGATTTCTCAGGTCCAGGATGGGAGGGAGGGAGACACAGACCCACCCCCTCCTAGCTTGGTGATTAAGACACGTGGGAGATC